TTCCATATCCAAAAGCCTAAAGACATGTTTCGCATCCTCAAAGCGAATCGCTTTTATTGGAATCGTTTCGACCCAATAACCAGTAGGAAAATAAAATTCCCCGAGCACTTCTGTGTCGCTCGAACAATTCGATATTTCCGACACGCAGTCCGCATTCCACGCGAAAATCGACTGATTCGTCTCTCCCCTACGTCAATTCCCAAACGCAATCAGTTCTACGACATCGAGAGGAGCGGAATTTCGTCGCCGTAAGCCACGTTCTACGTCCGAGCCTCCCACTGGTCAATCTTCTATCGAGCCTGGCGTAGAATACGAAACAACACTCGGCATAATCTGGTCCCGCGAAATCCACCGGTCAATCCATTTCTACGGCGATTTATGTGATAATCGCTAGACACGAGCTGTCTAGGGCCATTCTCCCTGTCTCTGTGGTCCGGTGGCTCCCGATGGTTGTGTATGAAATTGTCCCTGGACCGCGCGTGACGGGACATCTGGCTATAGGGACATCTGGCCTATATGTATAGGGACGTCTTGCCTGTCATCGTTGCGTCGCTGTACGTGTTGTCAGTCTTCCGCGGGCTCTATTCCGACAATATGGCGTTGTTTACGTATACACCGATGGCGCACCCTGGGACGTGAAATAGGTCATCGTTTTGGGGGACAATATCGGGGGTGGTTTTTCGGTTGTTGGGGCAGGACAAAGTTCTTCGTCGATGCCAGAAAATATCAGGCGGAGATGCGCCGTCTTGAATGTTGATTAACCATCCGAATTTTTAAGCTAATAAACTCAACTGTACAGGCTGTTAGAGTTGAAAAAGATCACATGAATATCCCCTTTCGTTTTAATGATTTGAGAAATGTTTAAAGCATATTTTGAGTGGGTTCGAAAGAGGGATAGCGTGACAGGAGAAGAAATACTTTTGGGATTATGTTTTTCTGTGTTTTCTCAAGGTTACCAGTATTTTTTTGCAGGGAATCATATATGTTTTTCTGTTGTATCTAGTTTAGATGACCATGAACACTGACAAAATGATCTAATTCTGAGACAGCATTATGGTATGTCAACTTACTCTTTTATGTTACCTAAAAATGAAAGGAGATATTTAAGCGACCTCTTTCAAATGGGACACCATTTATTTATAAACTATACTGCAACTATATACAGGAAGAGCCTGACTGCTCTATGATGAACGCTTCAGGTGGACTTAATGGCCCACCTAGAGCTCCAACCCAGGGCTGTTGGAACTCTCCTAATCTCTACTAACAATAAGATGAGCACCCTGACTGACGTCTCTAAACTGTCTCTATGAACTCTATTCTAATTACACTACGGGATGGACTCTGGTGTACAAAAACTACAAGTCGCGACACTGGCTCATCGTTCCTTTCATTACGCCCTAAGTGCGCCTTTCCTGTTGCAACACAATGCCTCGCATTGTGTCTAACGCTGCGAAAATTTTCCCCAGGCCAATTCCCGAATCTGCTAAATGTCACGGCACGATCTGGCAAGTTCTTGGGCTGTTTATGGGACGGTGTCTGTGTCTGTGTTGGAGTCGTTTGTAACCTGAAGCAGCCGGGAACAGTCTCTCTAGCTGTCATAAATTTGGCCTTTGTCTAACGTCAGTGCTAAAGTAAAATTGAATTGCAAGTAAACACGGATAGAGGGGTGGTATCGGGTAAACCATGACTGACTTTGTGATAGCTGAAGATGGATGGGTAGGGTCTCTCTCGGGGTTTTATCGCAACATTTACACAGCGACTCGGCGATAGACTTTCGATCGCATCGGAAAGCGATACGACGTACAACCGAGTAACGATGCGGACCTTAATACGGTTCGACGATCTTGTCTCGTATCGTCGGGGAAAGTAGAGCGATCCAACGACGAGAATAAGATCGTCGACGGAACTTGGAACGATAGGAGCCCCCCCTCCCACGTTAATTCTTGGGTATTGTGCACTCGCGTATCGTCTCGAAGAATTGGGGGGTTGGTTGCCGCCGGAACAAATGTAGAAGTACGATTCCTTTGGCGTTGTTCCGCTCTGTTATAGGACAATAAACTTTCAAGTAGATCAATGTGTTATGGCGTATACGGTACTCAGCGGGTATTGTATATGGGACTTCAAGTTTCACGGGGAGCAATTTTTATTTTGATGTTTAGTGTTGTCCAGAGTCGCGGAAACGTTCAGGTTGTATTAGTTTAATGTTAATATATCCAGATGACTGATTTTACGGTTATGTGGGTGGTTCGTTATTGGTGAGACAACTGACAAGGCTGGATTTTTTTTGAGAAAATAAAGCAAGAGTTTATAGAATGAAACTTCTTCGTACGAGAGTACGGTTACGAGAAAATCGGGTTTGATCATTTATTTAACAAGCATGCATTTATATCTTCCGCGTTTAGTAATGTAAAGTAATTTTTAGACATTTTAGCTGAGTCATATTCAATTACATATATATTTAACTGATTTTCATATATTATCCCGAAAATAAAATCGTATTTATGAGCATGTTATTCTGATCCCTTGATTCTCTTCTCGATTACTCTCTGTACATTTAATTGATTTCAACTTTTATCAACAAAGTACTGCTTACTTAATAAGTTTTAATAATTATATTATTACAATTTTAAAATATATTTCAAACTTTTGCTTGTCACAATAGAGACTTGATCTTCTTTAAATTTTTGCGTTTTCTTTGTATAAATGATTATCAGTGGAAGGTAGATTATATGAAAATTGTATCATGAACATGATTAGGCAAGAATTTCATTCGTAAGAACGGTAATATACATATACCGTAAACCACTTTGTATACATATCAATTAATTTAGTTGATACATGATAGCAGCCTCCACAATAATATACATATGTTGCATCACCTGACTATCGAGTGATCCATAGATTATGAGATACTCTAGTCAATCATGATTGACAATCCGTGATCGACTGTTATTAGTGCAAGCATAAATTGAACATTAAATTGACATCTAAACGTAAATGGGTTATATTCAACATTAAACATAATTATTACATGCGTTACTGTGACATACCAGCTCCTTCATAACGCAATTGTTTCTTTAATTCGAATTAATAATTAATTTCATAAGATCTATCAATATCAGCTGTTAATAAGAAACTCCTTTTATATAACTATTTCAGTATTTGCAGTCGATGATATTTTTTCACTTGTTTCACAGGACCTTGTAGCTATTATTAATGTTTTACGCATTTTTGTAACAACACAGCCAATTTTGTGTCTTTACAATGATAATTTTAACAGAGATCAAAGAGTTTTTTATAGGATTCCCAGCTATCCAAATTTTGAGTAATTCTGTGAAAATTCCTCAACAATGTATCCAGACCCTATTTGCCTCCAACACAGTCCACTAATCAGAATTTTCAGACACCACATTCAAACTTTTCCTCAGCCAAAGAATTAAAATCAGATATTTTCACTCATCCTGTCTTTGAATAGTTCATGTGCATATTTAACCAATTTAACAATTTCCATTTCATCGACGTCCATACTTCCGCACATTACACTCCACAAACAACCCTGTCAACGACGCATCCTACATGTCCAATCATTCAACAATCATTTCCTCCCATCACCACCGTACCCACAACATCAGGGTGCAACCACAATATACTAACAAGCATGTCAAACCATGCTCCGCGAACTAATTTACAACTACACCAACCACGCGAGGCTAACTTCCCTAACAATCAACGCTCCTCCCCGTCTATTGGATCAAACTTCCAAGACCAACCCGGTACCGCGATCGACCGCGAACTAAAAACCTTTCGACGATTTCATTGCCGCGGCCGGTCCAGACACCTGACATTCAATTGTACACCCAACCCTGGACTATTGTTCAGCAACCCACGACGGGTCTAACGGGCGGGTGGTGTTGGTCAAGCGTGTGAGTCTACCACGCGCGTCCCACAGACCGCATTCCACCGATATCACGTTCCCTGCATACGGTGACACAGTATATATCGACTGAAGAAGGGGGAGTAGACGATCGTGCGCCGCCGACTGATTCGCCGCGGCTGCGCAAATCTGGGACCACCCTCCCCCCCACCCTTGAGTCTCCACCTGACTGGCGTATATACCTACCACGTACGTACTGTACCCTCGTGGCTCGTCCCCGTGCCCTTACCCGTGACACTCACACATAGAGACACAAACATACACACAGGAAGCGGTCGACGCCGACGCCAGGCGACGCTGCCGCCTCGTCGTAGTCTCTCACGTTGGCTGCTGCTCTCACCACTCTGCCACCCGCCTCCTCACCCGACTGGCTCTCCTTCCACTTTCGCCCGCGTTTTCCGGACCGCTCACACTGGCCTGCACGCCGGACGGGACACCACCGCGATAAAAACATGTGTCGATGACAGGCGCCGCGCAGGACGTACCGATACGTCGTCAGTACCGGCCCGTTTCGAGGCGACGCGTCGCGATATTGAGACAGTCTGAAAGCGAGCGGATGTAGAGTACTACGCGCGGCCCTATTGAAGGCGCCGGACGGAGTGGACACCGTGGAACGGGATCAAAGACATTCGGTTACGAACGGTTCCCTGGATAGGGGGACCAGTGTCGGAAGTGTACACGTGCGCGACCATCAGTCAATGTTTCTGTCTCTGGTTTTATCTTGGACATGATTTTGTTCATCGTTGGATAGTTTATGGTGTTCTGGATAGAATCTTCGTTAGAGTGATCGGTTGCTGATGCGCTCAACGGGCCTACCAGTTGAAGCTTCATCGGATGTTTATGCTCTTGGTGGTTGTTCTAATCGGGACTACAAGTTGAAGCTTATCAGCAGGGTTTTGGATAGTCTGTGTGGGTGTATGTGTATGTGTGCGTTGTAACGGGACCGTGGATCTCTGCCGCGCTAAACGGTTAACGGTGTTTCGTGGTTCAACCGTCACGTCAGCCCGGTACCAGCCGGCTACCCTTCTCCATTGCGACGTGTTGTCTTTGTGATGAAAGTGATTTAATGGTTGATCCGCTAAAACTATTCTGGGTAATTACCAACAGCACCTACTTAGGTACGTGGAACTTGTATTGTATCAATATTGTTGCTGATGTTTTCTTGCGTGGTCAAGCATGACAGTTTTCCTGGAAGAGGTTTAGATGTGTGAAGCACGAGTGAGAAACAACGATCCAAAGGCGAAGACCTTTACGGGGTTGTTGGTTTACCGAGTCACGAATTCGAGACACGGGGATATTTGACGTGATTTAGGCTACTTTGTAGCTTCTAGGGCCATCGAAATGATCGTGTTACAAATATTAACGAACTATCCCTTATCGATTTAGTGCCCTTTTAATAAAATCAAAGTGACTCAAAACGACACAGCCAGTAAAACCCGACAAAACAAACGTTTTAACGTACTCGATTAACAGAAAAAATTTCTCCGGAATTTTTCAAGCATCCCAGATGTAACGGTCTCCCTAACACGTGGACATTCCCAGGGCGGTAAAACGATTTGCCGAGTCACAACTGGGGGGGGGGGGGGGGGGGTGACTGAGGCGCGATGCTCGAGGGTAGTGGTGTGAGACGAGCTCACGGTGAAAAATGGTTGGAATTTCAGTGAAGCGTCGTCGGCCACGATGAAACTCTCGTTAAGCTCGGTTTCCGTGCCGAAAGCGAGGACTCTTGGCGCGAACGTCACCGCCGGAATCCTTTTAGTTTCCGTTTTGCGGCATCGATCGCGACGAGGCCCGCGTTATTTTCAAAAGGCACGCCATGATTTGTAGATTGTACCATCGTACAACGGACGCCTCGAGCCCATGCTACCCGGACAATTGGGGAATATCCTTCCATTCAAACCGACGGAAAATCAATTCGACTCGGTAATTACGATCCGCGCCGTCGGCGAAGGTATCATCGTCGCTGTTGTCTGCTTCCAACGTTTCTTCTCGTCGCGTTTTGCGCGCCTGGATGGATCAACGTTTGGTCGTCAATGGGAACAATGCGTAACTGGCTGGGAACAAATGGATAGTTCTGAATTTAGGGTGGGAAAAAAACAGACGGTGGAAACGGGGCGAGTCTGTCGACACGAGTCTTCTCTCGAGCGATATTCGACGAGGATTTGCCTCGGGCACCGGAGATGAACGAGGATTGCGAGATTTAATTTGACGAGGCGACGATAAAAGAGCATCCCTCGTAAGCGGAGTGGAGTCGGATACTCGGTTTATCGCCGGTGTCTTTTGGAATAGCTAGGGAAGACATTCTTGTCTTGCTTAAGCAACCGTGGGGCTCGCTGGGTATCGAGTCATCCTCAGAGTGGCTTTGTTATTTGAGGTTGAAAAATGAATTTTTTCGACGTCTCGGAATTGGTAAATTTTTAATTGGAATCTCTACTGGATCTAAGAAAACAACTCGTGAACAGTATGGTCGAATTTAATTTTGTGGTATTACGTAATAAGGGGGATGATGAACGATCAGTTTTTTAGCGTAAAATTTTTTTAAGTAATAGGGTTAGAAGCAAGAGGATGAAATTTATGACGAAAATGTGCAGTTCAAAAAAAGATGAAACGAAAGCAAACGCGATCAGTGCACCGCAATTTTTCATACGCTTCCTAATTAGTGAATGTAGGTTAACCAGCGATGTATTCTCGGAAATCAAATTTTTAAGCAAAGGTGTAATAACAATGAGGGAAAAATTTATGTTTAAATTATATATTATCTAAATCGAAGTGTACCAGTTTCTGTTAGTGTGAATACACTAATCATTGTTTACTAATAAAGTGAACATCAGTTTCTTTGACTGTTAAAAGTGTCACTGTATATTGTAGTACTAAGTTTCATTAGGTTGTTGTTTCTCTATTTTAAAAGATTTGTTAATTACTACAATAATTGATTAATAATTATTCAACTTCGAATTCTATGTACTTATAGTATGCGTGGACACGCAGAATATATTGCCCAATGAAACATTCATTTTACGTCTAAATCAATAAGAATTTCAACGAAAGAATTAGATATTCTTTAATTTATGTTATTTCGAATACTCAAAATTAATTTTTGCAATTTTAATTATTTTATATTTACACGTTATTATACATACACTAAAACAGGGGTCAAAATAAATAATACATTGAAGAATTAAATAGCTCTTTTTTATATAATTAAATTGAAAGTTACACATTGATCAGATAAAATGAAAATATTTATTTTCATTCTCTTATTTTTTAAGTGCGTGCAATTATATTTGATGAAAACCAATTGTCATATTCGAGCAAAGTGTGAAAGAGATTCTATTAAATCGAAACTTCGATCCATCTTGATTAAAGGTTATTTAATAGAGTCATATTATTTGAGAAAGGATAGTATATTATAACTTCACTGGCCTAAATTATTACCCAGAACTTTGCAGACTCACTTCGTTGATTGATCAGGCAAATACATATTTCTTCCAATAGTATCGATTATATGCTATCAAATACATTCGGGGAAACAGATAATATTTTACCGGAGTAGTTTTTAAGAAAACTCTGAGGATCGACATTTCCATTCATCTTCCTCTCACATATCTAAAAATATCATTGGAATTCAATAGAAATTCCCTATCTACGTATACGTCTCCAATTTTTCATTTATTTGAACGTTTTCAGTTGTCACGTGTCGTTTCCAAATCGAAAACTTGGATAAATTGACCATATTTTTTGGCGGTGTCTATAAAGAATCGTCAGATTTGACAGGAAAGAGCTCGAGCCGAGGGAACGTTGATCGAATTCTCACGCGTATCTGAAATTTTTCTCAAATTCAATGAAAGCACTAAATCTTCAAATAAATCTAAAAGAACAATTTATTCATTTCGATTTTATTATTAGGCTATTTTAGTTTCTCAATAATAATAATAATAAAAAAATAGTAGAATAATAATAATAATAATAATAATAATATAAATGTTTTGTGACGATCCTTGTTTTTCTCCTTACTTTTCAGATATACTTTAACACTTGTTTCTACAAATAAGACCTGAAAACTGTGAACCCACATAAACCTCCGCGGCCTGGTGCTAATAACACGAACATTATTCGTAATTTCATTTCACCGTGAAAGGGTTAATAGGATTAGTTCGATGGAATTAAGCTTGCGGAATGAAAATATGCAAAGTTTGCGGGGGCAGCGACGCACCGTCAAAAGAAGTCCGAAGGAAACGTACTTCTGCTTTCAAATTACGATTCGCGAGGGAAAAATCGATTTTACGACACGATGGAACGCCAACTCTCCTGACTCGGCAGCACGTAAACTATGCTTCAAATTTTCCGCGAGCTAAACAAACACGCTGTATTTTATAAAGTGGACGGTGTCATGGAAATGCTTTACTGAACTATTTCAACGTCGTTTATCTAATGAAAAAACAGCTTACCTTTTAATTTATCGTAGGAAATATTATGTAGCAGCAAAAGGATAATAATGTGTAACCTGTTAACATGGGAAATCGAGTTAACACGTCATTTATGTTTGATTTTACTTTTCAGAGTTTATGCATTTTTTCATGTATAAAGTTGGAGATTCTTGCATGTAACTGTATCATAATATATGTACGATGTAAGTTTCAAATTAAGGTAAGACTAGGTCAAAATTTCAATGATTATTAGATAAATTTTTTAAATATTGGTCTTTTTGTAAGATTTAGGACTCTATAATGGAATTTAATCCTGCATACTTATCTTAACTCATCGTCGTTAATAACCACATATGTGTAATTTTTGTGACGATAACAATAGTTAAAAAGAAATGTCTACTATAGTACAGGTATCTTACATTCTATGTAACATTTTCGATCAATGGTCGTATTAGATAAAAAAAAGAAAGTGAAATCGACGTTACACATTATCAAAGTGAGGACTCTTTCGTTTCATGAAGTTAAAGCTATTGTAAATACATCTACTCTTAATTCTATTTTTACGAAAAATCCGTGTAAAAGAAAACATGTAAAAGAAGGTACTTTGTATATTAAAAAATGGAGGGTTGTCCTTGTACCATAGAAACCAGGAGAAATAATACGATAAACCAATTAAGAATTTCCTTTCTAAATGAGGACAATCTCTTAGAAAAATAAATAGGAATAATTTCCCTTAGAATCAATCCTCAGAAGGAATATTTCAAGAATAATAATTCAATAGGCAAGCTGCTTAATTTCAAGTTAAGTGAAAATTTTTAAAAAGATAAAGTCGGACGGTGTTACGTAAAAACAAATTGTGCAAGAAAAGAATTTAATTGTTTTCTACAGCGTGTGACCAAATCTGCATAAGGAAGATATTAGAATTCGTGCAGATAATTTTCATATATTCGACCTTCTTACCACGAAGTATCAATAAAAATTAATGAAATTTGTTGTTGAAGTTTGCCAAGAAGTTCGAAGAAAACCTATATCACCTTAATGTTGATTGCTAAGCAAGTCGATTCCATAGCAAAGATGCACCCTGTTTGGCAATCATCACAAAGCAAACCGAGCGAAGTAATCGTCAACAATAGATGGCTCGAGGGAAATGGGGACAATCCATAAACAAGCAGAAAACAATGCGGCGAACAAATAACAGAGGACTGCATGTGTTAGAATTAATTCGAGTCTTTCAGCCGCCCCCCGTTCGCGATTGTTATCACGATTTCAAGGACCTTTCGCGAAAAAAAATTGGTCTTTGTTGGAGTCGCTCATTATCTCGACGTCGGCTGCGAATTCATTAAAAGGAGAAAGTCCTAATCCTGAATTCGGCGAATTGTGTCCCGTGACGTCCTTCGAACAACGCTCGTGACATCCTAACATATGAAACGTTCGCGTCGTATTGTTATTAGTCTACTTAATTTTCGTTGAACTAATGGGAAATTCATTTTTATGTGGCTTTTTACTTGTGCTTCAGTGAAAGAAATCATTGTGATTGGTGAAGAGAAGAAATATAAAACGAGAAAATTCATCGTCAGTTCTCATCATTTGTGATGCGCTTTGTTGAAGGAAACAAACAAATTCCAATAACATACAATCACAAGCACACCTACCAACAAATGTAAAAACCCTATGCATGCGTAAAAATGCAC